GGGGTTATACTCTATCATGGGTAAAAGAGGCGGAGATGGGAAGGTAAGGCCACTATTGGCCACTGCACGGCCCCAGTACATTGCTCGGATGACGGATATTACACGTACCGAGCACACTTTGAGAGGGGCAACAATGGGCTTCTTATAGAAACAACTCAATAACTACCAAAACGAAACATCTGAAATGACATGTACGGTCGACCTTTCTATACGGCTGTGAAACCTTTCTATACGGCTGTGAGTGCTGGACAATCGTAAGAGACAGTGACAATGAAATAAAAGACACAGAAATACGGTTTCTTCGGAGATTGCTGAGAATTTTTGGGAAGAAAGAGAAATCACATGAGATATACTTGAAGAAGTCAACGTGGGCCGCTCGCTGATAAAAAACAAACAACAACCAGGAAGACCCCATATGTATTCTCTGGGACACCTGAACAGACATTAAGGCCTTGAAAATCTAGCACTCACAGCCAAAACTGAAGGCAAACGAGGCAGGGGTAGGCCGAGAGCAACCTATTTGGAGAACCTGAACTGATGGGTGACAGGTAATGATCAGGATAGTGAAGCTGTTTTTTAGGGCATCCGAGCAAAGGAATGAAGGGATAACCATGATGGCCAATGTCTGTCGCAGATCTGGCACTTAATGACAATAAAGAAAGCATATTCATGAAATAACAATTATTTATAGCAGGTACAACGAAGTACAGGATCAACAGACCAGCAAAAGGGAAGGGATAGCATAGAAGAACTAGTCACTTGCACCCTCAATCCATCAGCCTCGATCGAGATTTGTCAGATAAAGAAAACAATAATATTTGTTTGATAATGATTATTATCAACCCGTCCCAAACTTCGACTTGGTTGTGCTCGCGCTTTAGAAAAACGGGTATTCAAATTCATGATTCTCAATAGAATTTAGCGAGACAATAAATGATGCAGGGCAGCATAACGTAAGAAAAGTGATGGCGCTTTGACTGGTCAAATGAATATCTAATCTAGAGCGATGTCCTATGAACAGTTCCATTCTACCAAGAGACTCAGGCTTTTTTTGACAAAGCTAGTGCAAGTATGCATGTGACTCAATCTTTACAATGGAGGAGTACTGTTCCTTCAATCAATCAGATGTTAACATTTAACTCTATCATAAGATAGTAAAATTTCGAGACAGCATAAAAGAACAGGGTGCGAATTATGGTTAGAGTGTTTATACATCTGAGATTATGGTATTGGCCCTTATTTAACAGGAGCATTCAAGGTTCGAATCACAAGGGGAAAAAGA